TATCACACTATGATAATGAGAGCATCATTGAATAATATCACACTATGGTACATGGGAGAAGCTATTGCCATGCAGGGATGTCAGTCTGTTGTTGGACCACCTATTTGATCCAGAAGGGTTCACACATCATCCTCTCAGGAGGAATATGGAGATCGCTTGACGTTCATTTCAAGTCGAATGTCCTGCTTAGAAAGTCCTGGTTTAAGTTCTTAACAAAAATAAAAGATTTTTGAGCATTACTAATTGTTTATGTAAGGGAACCAATGCATTATACAGTGAGTCATTATAGCAGTAAACTCTGCTCGGTGGATATCTGTCTCTAAACGACAAGAGCTTTGAGAGAAGAAGAGAAACCGGTAAGAGCTGCAGTTGTTTCTGTGAACAACTCAAGGCAGTATGATATATTAATATTGCAGTATTAGCACCAACTAAATCAGTGTCTGTAACGTTAATGGTTCAACCTCGACAAAGCACTGATCTCTAACAAGAGGTTTGAGTTTGGAAACCAGCTGGACCGGTCGTGGGTTTGTTGTCCGTGCTAATAACAATCATCTATCAATCATCTTACAGAATGACAAACACCGAGTGAAGCCTTATGAGGAGGCGACTCAGAGCTCCTGGAAGCAAACACCACTGTGATATTGAAGAGATACGTTTGTCTCAGTCGTGGACCTAATCCTGCCTCTGTGTCTCATCCATCCAAGCTTTCTGAGCCGTCGACTGAGTACCTGAACTGAAGGATGTGAACAGTGAAGTGGGTGTCGGAGGGCGTTGGGAGGCCGGGCAGGAAGCTGAGTGTGTGCTCCATGTTGAAGGAGGAGATGGAGACGTTGGAAGGTGCGGGGAGGGAAACACACACCACTGCACAGGAGGACAGGAGAACAACACAGCCTTTAGATTCTCAATCATATCGTTTGTGTTTCTTATCATTTAGAACTCTGGATCACTAAACACGGCTCAGTCTACAGTCTGCACACGGTACACAAACATCTCCTGGACATAGCTCTGCATCTCACTGAGCTCACTGTGGGCCATTACAACGCTGAACAGAATAATAATGCATTTACTGCTGCTGACAACATTCATATATACATCTACACACAGCGTGGACAAAACAATGAAACACACACAAGCACAATGTCCCCTTCACAGCCGTCCTACAGCTGTGGAGAACACAAACGGTCCATAACTACATGCATTCACATCACACATTCACCACGTCAAGCCCTACGTCCTCCACACACTCGATCCAGAAGGCATTACCAAGGTGTGAAAGCAGAAAAAGCCTCCACAACCGCATCGTCTCTCCATGGACTTTCTTATGGCTCTTAGAAAAAGGTCACGCACAAGATAAGGCTGGTTCTTGGGTTGGAGCACACAACAAGTGGAGAGGGATGTGAGGGGGTTGGTAGAGCTACACTGTCACCATATGCAGAGCTGAGTTTCTATTTCCCTAGAAGTCCCTCCCTGTGCACTTCCTATACAGGTCCTGCAGTGAACTGTGCGAGCGTTCACCGTTGCAAAAGAGAAAATGGTGAACAGCAGAGTCAGCAAACCTGCCTTCAGCTTCACTGATTGTTTTTGATCGCTTCGTTTTATTGTCGTCAGCTTGAAGAAGTTGTACTTTTACTGCTAGAATACAAAACAGAACACTATTTAAAAACGTATCTTTATTAAAAACTTGACATATACGAGTAATGAGTGACAAAGATCTTACAGTGAGCATACAACTACACAAATGATGAAAGTTATTTGCATATGTAACTTGCAATAATACATGTATAACATATGTATTATGTGAATATGCGGATACAGTGTGTAACTTCAAAGTATTGTAATGTTGATATGACTACATAAACATAAGTTAAGAGAATATGGCAAAAATAAAAACAGACTGGCATTTATATACTGTAGATACTGTGTAACATTCATCACTAATCTCTCCTCAGTCATAATTCAAACATGATGGCGTAAACTTATATGCAGAAATGCATTATGTATAACAACCTAAGCATAAAAACATGTTTTTACCATCCTGCTGAAGGCATCTTGAATAACTGGACTTTGAGACTACATTGTGCTGACATTCAATCATCAAAGACATGCTGTCATACACAACACTACTGAGTGAATGAGTATGAAGTGCAGCGCTGCCTTTACTAATCGCTTCATTACTCATCAACTGACATTGTTTCCATTATTTCCCCAAAAATGCTTCTTTTCTTTGATTAAGCAGCTAATAGTTCCATTTAGCAGAGCTGGAGGAAGTTAATTATCTGATACACGACAGATACAAAAATAAATCTAAAGCAATACAGAACACATCAGCTGGAGCTTTTATTACAAATTAAGTTTTTACTGCACGTTGAAGTACAATGAGTTAGAACACTCAGCTGTCAGTGTTCAGCTGCCTTCTCTCTCACCGGACCACCTCAATGACTTTCTGTTCCACAGGATGTCCTAACAACCAGCTTCAGTCTGACATTGTTGTACATTATTGTTCTTTTGTCTGTGAGCTTTGCTTGTTCTCTTAACAGCACAGCCTGCTCATTAACCGTCTGTTTGAACTGCCAGCAGTCCACAGGGTGTGTGAGGTGATGAGCAGAGTCACAATTCTGCTGTCTCACTAACACACAAGAGTTGAAGTGAGGATTTGGTACTGTGAGCTTCTCGTGCTGCTGTCAGAAACGCACACATGCAGCAGTGCCTCTGAACATTAGAGGATATGAACATTGCTGTCAACACGTGCTCAGCGCAGCACTGTGCTGTGAAAGAAATCAAAGTGAACGTTTGACATGAAGTTCTGAATCACAGCGGTTCATGGCGGTGGAAGAGTTCCAGAGATGATCAGACACGGTAGGGGACGTAACACTGGCAGGCTGTGGTAATAGGAAGGGGCGGGGCAGAGCAGGGCATCACTAGTCTCTGACCTCACAAATGTGTTCTTTGTTAGCAAAAATAAATCGTCTGAAAGAAGGCACCGGTATCTGCAGCCGCAATGAAAGGTGGAGGAGCTTAAAAGAACAGGCTGATGCACACTATCTCACCAGGCTCTCTGTCACGCTCGTTGTTCTAAACTTCTAATACAAACCATCAAATCTGTCATTTCTGTTGGAAAAACAAGAATCTCCATCAGAAACCTTACTTCTGAGAAAAGTACGTCCTATAATGAGTTTTCAGTGTGTAGACGATGGAAGTGACTCTGGACCAGCACCGCTCCACTCAGTTTCATAGTCCGTCTTTGTAACACTGCTTTAAACACGTCGTACAAATGTAACTTACAGCTGGAGAAGCCCAGGACCTCTACAGTAAAGTCTGTTAGACATGTGTTCATGGACGCCCCATATATCCACAGTGCTCTTCCTCCTCCTCTTCATCTACAGAGCAGGAAACAGTTCCTATGACAGCTTCCTTGGTTGGAATGGTGTTCCACAGCTCTGACGCAGAGTTCCCCGAGTTCCCTACCTCCTCCACCTCCTCCACCTCCTCCCCAAGCCTGCCGAAGGTTAATGTGAGCAGGTCCACATCCCGGCCACCCCCCTCTTCCACCACCTTCCTCTCCTCCGTGTTTGGCGGGACTCGTCCTTCGGTCCCGCTGACTGAGCCTGATGAAGGTAAAGCATCAGTGTGTGTGCTCTGTGCTTTGTTCAGTCCAGTGTTGGAATGTGTGTCTGTGGAAAGCAAAGGTTCAGGCTCCGGGGGTAACGGATCTGACAAAGATGATGAAGATGAAGAGGAGGAAGAGAGGAGGTTATTGCCCAATCGCATTTTATAAGCTCCTCCTCTGCTCCCACCGGTGCTCTCAGTTCCACTCTGCCCATCGCTCTCATCGCATGTCTGGTTGCTCCTCTTTTCACCTGAAGAGGGCGCAGTTGGTTCAATGTTGACGAGAGAAGACAACAGGGACTTGCTGCAGGATGGAATGAATAGAAGCTCTTCAAAGTGATGGATGGACGTCTGAGACAGAGACACACACAACAGAGAGAAAGCACAGACTCATGTTAAAGCCAATAAGTGGAATCAAGCAGCTCGTTTATAAAGCAGATGTTCAACAGATGGAGCCTCTCCAGACAACTAGTCAGAAGAAGAATCAGGGACACTTGATCAAATGATGATGATTCTGTGCTCTGGTACGCTGTGACACATATTTTAAACCTTAATTATGGGATTTATGGAAACTAAAAGGCCGACGGTTAAAAGGCTACAAACACCTTGATTAATAGATGAGTCAATTGATCGGTAATCCATCCAGCATCGGCATAATGCTTAAGAAATGACTTCAGTGATCAACCCATACTCAAAACACCTCTATAGCAGTTCAATACAACAACTCTGACACACACTTCACATTTACAATGTCTGGAATGCTCATTGTGTGTTGTGACATTTGACAGAGCTGAAGCTGTATTTCTTCTGAGCCATGGAGCAGCATCGTCCCCACCAGTGGAAACGTTGCTGAATCACATGAAGTGCCGTCTGCTCCGGTGCTCTGCTGGTGAGCAGCCGGTAGCCTGGCGGCGCCCTGTGAGGGGAAGCCCCTCCACATCTCTCTGTGAGGGGAAGCCCCTCCACATCTCTCTGTGAGGGGAAGCCCCTCCACATCTCTCTGTCACTCTGCTTGACTTAAAGTAATTAATAGTGAAACATGAAACGCTGTCTTATTCTACAAGAAAAGTATGTTCAAATCCCCCTCGCATGAGAAAAACACCACAAATAAAGGTCAACTGTAGCCGACGCCCACACGCATCTACATGCCAGCACGCTGTAATAAAACGGCACTGATCAAGACATGAATGGAAGGTTTCAGAAGATGTTGCTGACTATCAACGTCATTTTCACAGAATTTGCATTAAAATGTTTCATGTTCAGAACCAGTGGTGGCATGAGGCTTTCTGTTGCTTTAGGTTATTAACGGAATCAAAGGATTCACTTATATTGAAGTTTTGGGGAAAAATAAAAATAAATCAGAGCAATGAAACAGGTGACCTGCCTGATGCAGTTCAGAGCGTCTGGAAACATTCAGAACGTGTAGAGAGAACATGAAGGAGAAGATCAAAGGTCGCTGGTGACTTGTTCTTTCATTACAACTTTATTGATGAAATTTATGTCAAGTAGTATTTCTAATGTGATTTTACTACCAATCTCACTCTATGTAAAGAAAGAAAGGACTGCTCTGGTTATTCTCCCAAGTCTTACTTATGAACTTCACACATGAGGGGGGGGGGAGTTTGAGGTTTCACTCGGTTTGGATTTGTTTTTGTGCAAAACTGACCCGACCAATAGAAAGCTAGGTATAGTGTGAGCAATGATCCCTGCCTCACTGCTGGTGTGTTCGCTTCACTTCTTGGAGCACATAATAGTGAAATGAAACGTGTATAACTGTCACTGTGTGGACAGTGGAGCATGTTACAGTCAGCACTAGTGGCCCAGGTAGCTGCTGCGTACACCTGTGACAATCTGTTGATGCCCTTCAGGAGCGGCGCCAGTCAGTGAAACACGGGCCGTGGTATGTGGATATGACAGCAGCAGCATCCTACAACAGTCCACAGCAATACCACCGACAATCAATATCCATATCATACCACGGCAGCCAGACCGTCACTCACAGAAACATGACCGAGCGCTACAGAGTTACCGCTCACTGTGTATCAAGCTAACAATAGCTGAGACTGAAGACGGAGCACTTTCAGCAAGAGCATTGTCACTTTAAGCTTGTAAGGGAACTACAAGACTACAGTATCGCTACAGAGAGGTAGAGAGCTTAACGTGGGCAGAGCTGGCATTAGAGAGCTATAGGCTTGCTCTCTGTGTGCAGCATTGGACCATGTGGTTGATTAATGGCGTCCTTGTCAGTGTGCACAAATAAAACAGTTGCTTTTAGTAACAGTTGCTGGGTAGATATTATAGAAAAAGTGGTAAAGTGGTAACGGTAGCCTGTCGATGTCGACAGGCTACATAATGAAGCCTTGATGGGTCGAGGCCCGTCAGAATGACGCACCATCTTCTTAAATAATGGACAGGCCCCGGTTCCTTGTGCACGTCGGGTTGAAGAGGCGGAATGCCGGCTGTGTGTTTCTATGACCTTCGGATAGATGGCACTTCACACATAACGTGTGTGAAATGGAAATCACGTATTGCAACTTGTACCACTTTCTGTGTCCACCATCTAGTGCTAGAGAACACGCGGATGATGTCATGTTGCATGTACATTTTATGTACATTGGATGATCTTTGTCACAAAAGGCTTTCTCCCTGTCCAATCACCTTCCAGGATTAGCGATGCCCCACCAACTGCTTTTAAGACTACAATTCATTGTATTACTTACCAGGACCAATGGCAGCGGCCTCCTCAGCAGACAAGTGAAACCAGTATAGACCAGCAGGGCCCCAATGACCACACCAAGCATCACCAGCAAACACAAGGTGGCTGATATCCATGGGTCTGCAGAGAGGGGGGGGGGGGGGTCACAGCACACGTTAACCCAGAGGGACTTGAAACAGAGCAAGCTCATCGGTATCATCAACAGTACTGACAACTACAAGTGCTGTGGTGATACTGATCCATGTTTCAGAGGTTAGTGTTCCACCATACTGAAAGAACTGACACAGCAATATTGTTTTTAAAGACCTTTCACCTTAAACTTTGCTACGTTTCCTCAACAGACCGAGTAGTGAGGCCACTCCTGTGGCTTCGTACTAAAGGTTGCGATCGAAGATGGTCTCTTAATAGAACATTTACAAATCATACTGTTTTGAAGATATGGAGTCTTCAGCTTTCAGAATCCGTAAACCAACGTATGTTGGTCTCATCACAAGTATTTTAATGTTCTTCAGTCTATAATAACGTGCTAGCTATCGGAAAATAGAGATTCCAAGCATTCGAATACACCTGAAGCCCCCGCATCAACAGGAAATGAAGAGGGTATAGTGTTTGAATTGTGTCAAAGACGTCTGTGTATCGTGTTGCAGAGATATCACGATCTACTTTGTGCTCAGAGGATCGGCAGTTCGATCCCCAGCTTGTCCTTTGGGATCATCCCAAAGTCCTCCCGTAGCTGTTCCTACGGTGTGTGAATGTTAGAGTCCTGATGAGCAGGTGGCACCTTGCATGGTAGTCCTGTCATCAGTGTGTGAATGGCTGAATGATGACATGTAGTGTTAAAGAGCTTTGCACTACTGCTCAGTTAGTTCATTCATATTATTCTATTTCATGGCAAATATTGTGCCTTTTTATAATGGATTGCTTAAATATACTTCTGCCGCTGTAGTGAACTAATGTCCCCTTGCGGGATGAATAAAGTATCTGTCTATCTATCCTTCAGTCAGCAGGCGGTGCTCAGCCTCGCACCGGGGGTCTGACCCCCACCAGATCAGCAAACCTTCTGTTATTGCCATTGCACAGGTTAGTCCAGCAGGCCACCGCCCCGCTGGGAGTCCCAGTGCTGGGGTTTGAGTTGTTACAGCTCTGCTAACAGAAGGTCTGTCTCGTCCTCTCCTCCCGGTGAGGTGGTCTGTTGGTCGCAGAGGACGAGACCAAGACCAAGCTTTTATTGCTTCTGCTCCATTCAATTTAATGAATAACCACAAACTATCAAAAGGAACACGGAGCGTGTAGCTCGCTGTTAGTGGCACAGTAAACAGAGATGCTAATGTACGCTGTAGGCCGACGCTACATGTGAAGATAAGACCGCAGTGTTGTTTTGAGCGGCTCTCAGAGTTCTAGTTTTGGTTGAATTTGACGTATTCTTGCTCTGCTGTACAGTAGTTGGCTTTTCTTTTCCATATCTTGTGCTTATGAATAAAGGCCTATACAGGTGTATGTAGGTGTTTTCACTTGTGCTCGACTGATAGCTCCCTCCTATTATTCTGTTGCACCTGTTTTGGTGGGATAACTGACCCTTTGGAGTCCACAGAGTTCCATCATGTAGTTCCAAACAGAGGGGCTACTGTATACTGGATCAGACCTAGTTGGTACGTGTTGTTTGGTCAAGTAGGAAAAGGAGAGAGAAGAGTTCAAACCCCAGCTCACTTCTCTCCTGTACAGCTGGCCAATCGTGACGTGAAGTTGGTGTCAGTGTCCGATAGTCAGTCTGAAAGTCTGATGAAGTGTAATGGCCCTTTAGCTCCATCCAACTCCTACCTGACTAGAGGCGGACTCAGCCAGGGTCATTGAAACCACCTTTGTGGGAGTGCAAAACCTTTCAACTGATGAGTAACTTGGAGAAACATTGACACAGACACAGTGAGCTGTACCTGCAGTATAGTGGCCAGGGGTGGAGGCACACACAGCTTGGCTGTAGTTGGACTCTCGAGACACCAGACCGTGTGAGAAGCAGACTGACACACAGTACCGTCTGCCAGAGGCCAGGTCCTTCAGAATCTGTCTGCTCAGAGACTTGGTGTGCTTAAAGAACTGCACACAGAGACACGCAGACACACGTCAGCAACAAGACAAACGCAGCGTTTAAACCACAGGAGCCTGTGTTTCACTTTGCTGTGGCGAGGTAAGCAATAGGGTGCTGCATTCAATACATCATTTTAAACTCATTCTAAACCACTTAACCTTCAACGCATTAACTGATCTTTTCATGTCAAAGAGGGAACACCAGGATGAAGGAAAGCATCCAGCTTTCACATCTAATGAGGTGAAACTAAAAAGGACAACACCTGCTCTCATAAAGCACCTACAAATATCACAAGATGTCCACAGACCTCCACTCAGTTCACTTATGGTTCAAAGCATCCAGTGTAGAAGATGTGGGCACTTTACTGAGACCAGTGGTTTCTAGATTTGTCTTGTGTTAGGTCAGCCTTTTAAAGGACATACAGGCGTTACTCAAACTGGACTTTCTCGTTGGCATCTTCTCACCTGTACCAACACAGCAGTGCTATCTTGAATATCCGGATAAAGATATGCATGTATAAACCTCTCACACTGTGTGTTGGTCCATGTACGGTACCTGAGGTTTGTCTGCATTGTTGCTCTTAATCCGGAGTTTGTAATTGAGAAAGTCATAGACCTCTCTGAGGTGCTCCATGGGAGGCTGGAGGTCCACACACAAACCCTCTGCACACGGTGTCACAGTCAGCAGCGGCAGGTCCAGGTGAGCTGCAGGACACCGGGACAGGGACAGAAGAGACAGTTTGGTTTCCGTCGCATGATGAATAAAAAACGAAGAAAGAAAAACCACCTTAAACATTTTGAACGACACATACAGCATTTGATTAACCATTCACAGTAAACAGGTTTATGGAGAGTCCTCTGAGGCACTAAATCCTGGTTCAACAGAAGTCTCTCACAACTTAAAGTGAAACACTTCAGAGAAGGTAGATATCCAGCGCTGTAGTGCGTTAGTGTTATCTTAAATGACCATTATTCACAATCTCTTTACAAACTTCCTTTCCCAGTATCAGCAGAAATACATTTAAAAACAAACAAACAGGCATTGCTTATTTGCTGTTCTCAGCATAACATGGCAAAAAGTAATAATTCATTCAAATTCATTGCAACCACAAAAACCCAAGACCACTTTGTGACCAGAGATATAATGTGGTTCTGCCATGAGACCAGAACTAGAGGGTACAGCAGACATGTGTGTGCAACAGATTAAGAAACAGCAGTTTAATCATGAGATTGTTGGCCTGTCATCATTCAGAGACACCAGGGGAAGAGGACACCCTGTCACAAGACATCACCACAGAGAGAACTCTGAAATGAATAACTCGTAGCAGCAGTAGTAGAGGAATGTATTATAGGGCAGGGATGACCCACAGAACTCTACACGCTTTGTTCGGGAAAGCCGGAACCAAGAGACACAAGTGAAGAAGCTATTCTCTGCTCCAACGCAAAATAAAGAAAAGATGATGTCTCATCTCCATCATCCGTCCCCATCATTCCAAACATTCTAGCTTCAACACAGTGCCTCTTACTGTCATTGATGGGTTTGAATCCTCGGGGAGAGGTGAGTGGTTTTGAGTCCTGTCCTTCCAGCAGAGCTGTAATCTGGGTAAAGTAGACCTGCTTTGGGTCAGAGAAGGCCTCCGTCAGGTTGCATAACAGTGGGTGCTGGACACGCTCACAGCCAACCACTGGCACAAAGGAGGTTCCCCTACAGGACCGGAGAGAGAGGAGAGAAGCAGACTTTAGGGCCGAGGTCTTAGAGAGACTGTCCTCATTAAAGGTCCAGAACATCACAGCAATGTCTCACTGCGCTATGATTTGGTCCCATTATACTGACGAAGCTTAGTAGCATCACCCTATGTATGAAGTCAACAATTGACTGAAATTAATTAAGTTCAATTGAATAATATCGTTTTCAAATTGAACTGGATACATTATAAATGATAAATACTCTAAAAATAAATAAATATTCTTCTCTTGTTTGAAGTAAAATAAGGGCTGCATTAAAAAAACAACTGACATAATAGAAACATCTTCTTCTTAAAATAAAGTACTTGATTTTGGAAAGATGAATATAACTGAATTGCTGAAGCAATTATAACTGAAGCAATTATAACTGAAGCTTTAAATTCAGTTCATTCATGTGTGAAGTGATGTCACCTAAAACATGATATTACTCTCATCAGATTGCATCTGTGGTTATTGAAAGCAGCTCTGCTCCTCTATGTTACATCATTAGTGGGAAGTGAATGAATCTGATGGATCGATCACATTGGGCTCTTGTTGGTTCTTCTTTTCGTCAAAGGATTTTCACTTTGTCTCGTAGTGAAGCTTCACATTGAGTCTTAATCATCATCACTGTCTCTGAACACATGAGACATGCTGGTTTTAAACTGCCCGGAGGAAGAATTAACCTATAAGAGTCTGTTCATTCTTGGTTTAAGACCACATTCTCTTTTTGGAGAACGTCATGTGAAATAACTTCTCTGACTCGTAAATCTCACTGAGGCAGCGCTGCATGTACGAATACATATCTGATGGGCTGAGTAGCACCAAGTGAAGTGATTTACAGCGCATGTAATTGATCGGTGTGCTTCCTGAACAGCTGAACGAGCCTTAGAGGCCAGAACATCTTTGGGTGTGTGTCTCTGTACACAATAAACATCTGACATCATTGTTCTGCTGTAACCCAAATGTAAAGTGACTGACTGTGTAGAGATTCCTTGGGACACTGTGTGTGTGTGTGTATGTGTATATATATATATATATATATAGTAAGTAAATGAACACGAACACAGATGAAACCCACGTTTCTGTGTTGACGGTGACATGGTAGTGGGCTCCTGTGGGTGTTCCTGGTCCAGGCTCCCATTTAAGGATGTGAATGAAATGGCTTGAGTCCATGGTCGCATTGACAGGCCGTGGGAGTTCACTCATAGCTGAAATACATACAAACAGGACATTAAATGCATCTGAAGTAGATTTATATTATATATGCACCTCAGTCAGACTTGATTTTCAACGAGTGACAGTCATTGTAAGCACCTTTGTGCTGAGCCACACTGTCCCATTCTGAGATTGGACAATATTAAAGGGGAACCCCCCCGATTCGGTTTAAACTGTCCGTGTGGGACATGAATGTGGGAGTGCACTGCTGAGTTAGTAGGGTATTCCGTTAAAGAACAGGGCTCGACACGCATGTTTTTATGTGAACACAAACATCTTTGATTCTAATAATGTTCTACCTCGTTTAAATGAGAGTTGAGCCCCGTTCTTTATGAATGCTTCTAGAAAAAACACACACATTAAAAAGTCTACTTTACAGTGAGCGACTAATGCACCACTGTGTTCTACCACTCGAAGGCCAACAGATTCAGCGCTGACCTTTGCTTGAAATCCACTTTTTAGAGCGCTGGATAACTTTTAACGGTTTTTTTTTAATTTATGCATTTCTGTAACAAAACGTTAATCTCGACCGAGGCTGAATGTTTGGTCTTCGGAGGAAGTGCACCCACTATGAGACAGATGACATCACGTGACCGTGTGCTCACCTGGCAGGACCTGAGGCAGCCACGCGAGCATCCACAGGAGACCAGTCATGACAGCAGCTCTGCTCCACCGCCATCAGCACCTCAGGACTCTGTCCACATCACCATCTGTCAGAAACACATCAAGTCACTTCCGCGACCTATGTATTCACATACGTCATGCAAAGTGACCAAATAGTTATTACAACTCGCTTTAGACAAAAGCATCTGCGAAATGAGTGATGAATGTGGGTATAGAACTGAACGGAGCAGCTTGCACTGACACCGTGTGTTACGGTTATTCTCACCGTTAATAAGCCAAATCACGGTCTGAGCTTGAAAAGTTAACGGCTCCTGTAATAGCCCTTAACTTCCACATTAGAACCACTGACAAGTGAGTGAGTTGCAAAACACTTTCACTTTGCATGTATGGCGTTTACGGCCCGTTTAACGTCACTTCCATTAGAAAACAATACAACTACAACGAGCCTGAGCTTCTACAGACAGATACCGCTGTCTGGCGTCACTCTGCCCACAGACGCCACATAACTAACTAACGCTAACTCCTCTTCTTAGACGCCCACTTGCCGGAAACGCATCTATCGCTAGCTAGCTAGCTAACGGACTAGCATGTCAACTAGTCAAAGCTTTTTGAACAGGTCAGAAACGCTACACAATGTTCACAACGTTCAATGGTATGTTTAAAATGACAGCGACCTGTCCTGAGATTCGTGTCCGTGTTTATCCACCAATTTCAGCTCTGGAAGCCAACCCATGGCTGTCCCATCACACAGCCTGTCTGTGGGACCTCATGGAGCGGATCGGCGCGTAGACTGTAGCCGCTCTTGATGCCTTCAAAGAACTGCAGTTAACTTGGGTTTTTATGACGGCGCGATGTGTTTTTTTGCAGACTGACTGGATACTCCAAAGACTGCACAGTCTCGTGTTTTTCGAGTTGCGGTAACACAGAAAACCCTAGTACAATTGTATTTTGCGCACTGTGGGGCCTGTCATTTTGCCTGCAGAGACTGTAGCTGATCAAATTCGTCCGACGGGATTTGAATGCAACATCTGCGGAGTTGATGAGAGGAAATCATGTGACCTAGAAGAAGTAGAGGGTGGCAGGAGAGTAACGTTCCCTTCACTGGATTCGTTTTCTTTCTTAAACCTGAAATCAGGAAAGCGACCGCAGCGGTTTTTTTATTTTTAACTTACCAAATGGTGTTATTAAGCCCCAAGCACGAGCGCCGGGCTGTGAAGCACATTTTAAATGGTGGAATGCAATTTCCCAAAAATATTTTTCCCATTGATTTCGGGCCAATCTCAATGTCCCCCTTAAACACTGAACCCCAGGGATTAGCTGACGTCACCTAGCGAATGGTCGAGTCTGAGAGGGCTAGACATTGTATAAATACGAATGGAACAGCACTTTGGGGCGAAATATCAAGTTTGATGACCAAAGCATGTTGGGATTTTATTTTTATGTTGTTTTACTGCCTGATTTGAACTCTTGCCGAACATCCATGTGCTTTGTTTACTTTTTCTTTTATACACCTCTGGGCCTTTACGGGAACAGACCTCACAGTCATTGAGTCTGTGAGTGTTGAGATTTAAAGGAAATCGTTCATAAAGTGTTCAACATCTCTACAAGAGAGCCCTCAAACACTCGACCATTTGACAGTGGGACAGCCTCTCTGGGTTTAGGGCTGTCCCACTGTCGAGTGTTTGAGGGCTAGCAGAGATTTTGAGCCCTTTAGGAACACTTTCCGTTGGTCGACATTTCTGCAGACTTTGCCCAAGGGAATTACCCACAATTCATAGAGTTGTGACGTTAAACATAAGCTTACCACGGGAAGCCAGGGTTTTCTAATCCTTATTAAGAAGACAAATTGGCCGCCAATTGTCAATGCAAAGCAGATCTTTGCTCGTCTGTAGTGGTTACTCCCCTGTGTAGTCCGGCTGTTCCATTTGTGTGGACCAGTGAGTGTAGTCATGCATTTAATGCTGCCAAGTCTCTCCTGTCTGCTCCCAACTTCTTGCGTCCTTTTAAGCTTGAAGTCGATGCTAGTGCTTCTGGAGCCGGTGCCGTGCTGTTGCAAGAGGGCGAGGGAGATATGTTCCAAACTGTGTGCTACTTCTCTGTGAAGTTCAAGCCCCACCAGCTGAACTACTCCAGCATTGTGAAGGAGATGCTAGACATGCTTCTATCCCTTCAACATTTTGAAGTGTATGTGGGCTCCGGTTGATCTCCGGTGACTGTATACACCGATCATAACCCTCTTGTCTTCCTGGCCCAGATGTACAATCGTAACCAGCGGTTGATGCGTTGGGCCCTGCTCGTCCAAGGGTTTAAGATCGAAATAAAGCACAAGAAGGGGGCAGACAATGTGGTGGCTGATGTTCTGTTCCGTGGGTGAGATCTTTTTGTTTTTGTTTTCATATAATCATGTATGGTGTAGTAATGAGGGTTGGTTGTGGCCAAACTGTGGTTTGGTCACATGGGAGGGGGTGTTACGAGTTGTGTTGTCTCTGTGCTCTCTCTCTACCCACCTCAGTCTCCATTCAGGTGCCACCTTTGGTCCTGCCTAGCAGCTGCAGCCTGTGAGTGAATGTGGCTGGGCTCAATCCCTGATTAGTGCCACGGGGATAAAAGGAGAGGAGGTCCACACAGACAACCCGTGGCAGCATTGAAGCTGTGTGTGGATCACCTCTGTTCAAGCCGTGTGTGCTGTTGTTTGTTAACCTGACCCGTTAGGGTGTATACTATTGTGGTCTTTTGAGTTTGATTATCACTGCTGTTAACTAGTGTCGCTTTCTTGTTTTAAGAAAGTAGTTTTCAGTTGCCTTGTGAGCATTTCATCTTTTTGTTAATAAATCCCTTTTGTTAAACTCATCAACTCTGTTAGTGAGCGGCGTGTCCAGCGGGGTTATCAGACCTACGGAGAGGACGTCTGAAGTCACGGTTAGTGGCTTTAGGGAGGGTGATGGACACAAAACGGAGGACTTTCCTTTTCTTATTAATGCTTATTTTGTTCTGCACAAATATTGTGAAGTCCCCACACATAAACTATAAAGGAACAAAAGCAGTAAATGCTCTCCAGTAGGACAGAGACTTCAGCCTCCAGCAGAGCTACGAGTGAGAACAGCAACGAAACCGAGAGGAAACGAGTGAGAGACGTGTGTTGACCACATTTATGGACCATAATCTAGTAAACTTGTATGTGTCAGTGTTGATTCTAAAGTAAATTTGATGTGTGAGAGAGAGACATATAGAGCAGACCTGCAGCGAACATTAAGTCTGAAAAATAAAACTTCTAAAACTTTCCACGAAATGTGTCTGTTTGAGTTTATAGAGGAATATTTTAGAGAAGATCTTAAGTATCAAACACGACCTTTCATTATTAAAGACTACTTTATTACTCTTGTATTTTTTTAAAACTCTGCATCCAATCTACTTCCTGTTTACACTGTCACTATTTGTTTTCAGGCGTTAATGTGGACGGAGATCTAGAAAACGATGCTGAAACGCCGTGTACTGCTCGTCAGTAAAACCAAGGAGATGATTGTTGATTTTAGAAAAAAGGAGGTGAAGACATGTTCTAACCCTGTTAAAGGCTATATAAGAAAATCAATGTAAAATGACATGCATCTTGCAAGTCTAGCATAATAATGACATAACAATGTCTTGCTATTTATACACCTTCCCAGGAGATTGGGTTGTCTGCTTAGTGAATACAAAAATGACACATTAAAACACCAGTCACTAGCTGTCTCATTTTGAAAGGTAGAAATGTATTTTCATTGATTATAATTTTAAACTAATGGATACTGAGCATCTGATCCTTCCATCTTTAGCCCATGGAGTATGTAATGAACATCGTCAATGGAGTAGGTAGGCTTAACAGCTATTTGTGAAGAAGGATATAGATTCTATGTGCAGACAGAATTACATTGAGATCCAGAACAACAACACCTAAAGGTATGATATGCCACAATGTCCTAAAATACAATGTATCGACTGATACAAAATGAATCCCTCTCAATCATCACTTATGACCCATTAGAAGTGTGTGGCGGTGTGTATCTGCAGAGACCCTGCCCTCTGCCTGTGTTCTCTCCTTTGTTCTTATCTTGCTGTGTGTGTGTGACTCTTCTGGGCATCAGCAAAGTGTATTAAGTGGGGATGTAACCCAGAGCCAATAAGCAGGCTGTGCATCCTTTTCAGGTCAAACACTGCCGCTTTGTCACACTCGTCTTTGTACAGAGGCTCACAACCCTCACAGGCCTGAGACCACGGATCTTTAAAGAGAACTGGACACAGCGTTGGAGGCAGCGCCCCGTTCATTCCTATTAAAGTTGCTCTTGGGTGCATGAAGCAAAAACGTTGAACTTCCAAGTATGGCATTCAGATGAAAAGACTTTCGGCAAGATGGCAGACTGTATGCAGAAAATGCTCTGAGCTCTGTCTACTTCTCACAATTTTTACATGAATGCAACTATCCAACTCTCATTATTTGGTCCTCTTGAACCGTTTAAGTACTGAAAATGAATTACACCATGATGACAAAAATTAACCCTTTCTTAGATCCCAATGGCCACTATAATGCAGCTAAGATGGAACTTTCCACGAGAGCTTAAAAAGGAAATACCCTTTCCTCAGAATCAGAATCAGCTTCATTGGCCATGTATGCGTAATCCGGTTTACACATCGCTCTCAATGTACATACACAAGTTTACAATAAACAAGAGAAATATTAAAATAAAACAAGGACAACAAAAATAGTAGAACCGATGTAACGTAACGGAACCATTTAACAACTATGTACAATATAAATATAAATATATATCCAGAAGTATATACATATATATATATGAACATAGACCTATACAACAACATTGTCAATGGAATTAAGGTGATAGTGGAGACAGAGGTAGTAGTGCAGTATGTCTGATTAATTGTTCATCAGAGTGACGGCCAGCGGAAAGAAGCAGTTCCTGTGTCTGGTGGTTTTGGCGTACAGACCTCTGTAGCTTCTACCAGAGGGGAGGAGTTGGGACAGCTTGTGTCCAGGGTGTGAAGGGTCTGCAGTGATGTTTCCTGCCCGTTTCCTGACTCTGGAGGTGAACAAGTCCAGGATGGAGGGCAGGCTGGAACCAATGTTCCTCTCTGCAGACCTGACAGTCCATTGCAGTCTGTTTCTGTCCTGTTTGGTGGCCGATCCAATCCACAGTGATGGAGGAACAGAGAACAGACTGGATGATGGTGTAGAACAGGATCAGCAGCTCCTGAGGCAGGTGGAACTTCCTGACCTGGAGCAGGAAGTACAGCCTCTGCTGGACCTTTTTCCTGATGGTGTTGATGTTGGGGGCCCACTTCAGGTCCTGGGAGATTGTGGATCCCAGAAACCTGAAGGTCTCCACAGCGGACACAGTGCTGTTGAGTATGGTGAGGGGGGGGGGGGGGCTCCTCCTGAAGTCCACTGTCATCTCCACAGTTTTGAGCCTGTTAAGCTCCAGGTTGTTCTGACCGCACCAGAGGACCAGCTGTATGCTTAACCTGGAGCATGCTGTTAAGCTCCGGCATGCATGTTAACTTCGTATTGGTTTTCTATTGTACTTAGCCTTAGCCGTAACCTAAGCTGTATACTTAAAAAAAATAAATCCTCTGTGAGCGATCTCCATGCAGCCTTGTTATCAGGTGCAGGCTGTATTGTAATAATATTAATAATAATAATGAAAATTAGAGTATAGCCCAGAGAGTACATTAATAGTTTTATGCCATAGTCTGCCCAACAAGTGGTCGACCGTGATTGGACGAAAGACAGTGGAGAGTCTGTTAATAATAATTTCACTACTAAGTGAACTCCACTGACTGCCTTGAAGTTTGACCACTTCAACTTCGACGGTTATGTGGAAGCAGCACATACCCAGCACATACCCGGACACATACCCGGACACATACCCAGCACATACCCAGCACATACCCAGCACATACCCGGACACATACCCGGACACATACCCGGACACATACCCAGCACATATCCGGACACATACCCAGCACATACCCGGACACATACCCAGCACATATCCGGACACATAACCAGCACATATCCGGACACATACCCAGCACATATCCGGACACATACCCAGCACATATCCGGACACATAACCAGCACATATCCGGACACATACCCAGCACATACCCGGACACATACCCAGCACATACCCGGACACACATTTCTTCGTATCTTATTTCAAAATCCAACCATCTTTTCTTCCAGTAAAACAAAATATGAAGTGACCGACCATTTTCAACCAATAACATCACGACATCAATCACCAATCAATCTGCAGCTTCTAACGACGAGGGAGGCGTGTGTGGAACGCTACATTCTAAGCCAGCAAGAGATATTTTTCAAAATCCCTCTTGTAACTGCACACCGCCCAAATATTCTGCTTCACTGGAGAATACGTCACAGCACAAAAGCTAAAGTCCAAAAGCATTGCATTCACTTTTCTGTTCACTGGTTTAAGTCAAACAACTCAACTGAAGGCAGTGCAGCTGGGTTTGTGTTCCCCTTTCCACTTCAGTTGTCTGTTGTTTGCACAGCATGGAGGCAAGAATTGTTCTATTATGAGCCATTAGAAGTGTGCAACATTAAGACATTATAGCAAAAGAATACACTCCTCACTGCTCCCTTTAAATTCTACTTCATCTCTTTTCTGGTGTGACCTTTTCCCCTCGACCTGCCAGGACAAGTCCTTCAGTGAGCCGTGTTCCAGTTCCATACCAGTTGTAAACAGTATACACTAGTTTCACTGTTTATGTAAGTGGGATACACAAAGTGTACATACTTACAGGATGTTATACATTATGGGCACCAACTGTTAAATGACAAACTGCGACTTTGGAAAAGGATTGTTCCACCTGTGAGTATTGCCTTCATTTCCACTGGTGCATTGTGGGAAGATAGAGAACATCAACATCACACTCAAAGACAAAGTGTTTTTTGGTATGAATATTGACACAATTTGGTCACAAAGTGTGTAGTATAGAATGATGACAGTCCTAGATTTCCTTAAATTCCCACATTATCTTTGTGCCCAAAGGAGAGGCAGGGTTCTGGTGCTGTCACGGCTGACTGGGATAGAACAGAGCCAATACTAATGTTATTAATAACACCTGCACTTTTCCTACTATGACAAGTCAAAATGTCTGCTGTGAAAAATAATTCAATAACATTATATTCAATAAATTGGACTTTGGCTAATGTAAGGGATCTTTATGCTTGGCTTTTTGGGCTGTTCTGTATCATCAGGTGGGATGTATCCTACCTCTCAGAGAAGTTATGACTTGGATGTTAACAAGGACGCTCATCTTAAGATAGAAACTGGTCATTTTAAGAACTACAGGGGGCTACTGTGGCGTAGTTGTAGGAGAAATGTATTGATGTGTGTCCTTGTATTTCCTTAAGAATAGGAAAATAGACCGCTGTTAAAGAAACCACCTTAACTACAGTTACATATTTCAGACTTTTGGTCTGGACTTTTTTTTCTCAATTAAGAAGGAATATACTTGCAAGGATGTTACAATGATAGTCATACACAGTAACGCGTCAGAGCAACATTTCATGTGTGTCCCATATATCCGGAAAATTCCTCTTCTTCTTCTTCTTCCTCCTCCTCCTCCTCCTCCTCCTCCTGTGTTTCTTCATGCTGTGTCTCACCATCACAGGTACTGAGACAGCCAGACGAAGTGTTCATGCGTCTGGCTTCATACCAACCCTCACTAAAGTCTTCTTGTGTAGGTAGGGTTAATGCCAATGTTGTCCGATCAGCCGTGTGGCTCAGAGTCCGTTTTGAGTTTGTGGGCAGTAGAGGCTCCAGATCGGACAGGCAGTCTGTGAGAGATTCTCTTGTATTCTGCTCTTCTCCCTCATCCCTTTTCATTGCAGCGAGGGTGACTGAGAACAGATCGATATTGCCTAAGCTCTCGCACACCTCTTCCTTATGCTCCTCCTTATCCTCCTCCTCCTCCTCCTCTTCCTTCACTTGACCTGTGACTGGTCCTTTGGGCATGAAAGAAACCTCTGTTCCTTCAGCTTTGGCCTCATTTTGATCAAGCCCCCCATGTCTAATCTCAATCTCAAACTCTGTGTCCTGTACTTCCGCCTTCACTGTCGAACTCCCGGAGCCCCCTGACACAGCCACCTTGCTGTTCCCTAACACATCAACAGAGTCCTGGCAGGAACTTTCATCTGAGGAAAGCTCTTTGTCTCTGTCCATGTAGACGTTTTCCCCTTCCTCCTCCTCATCTGAGTCAGTGCCCCTGGTGGCAGCTTGTGGAGCTGGGGGATTGTTGTGCTTCCTCTGTTTCTCCGTCTCTGCGCCTATGGAGATGTTGTCAGGGACCGTCCTCTCTGGTGTGAGGGCGTGGCCTTGGCTCAGCACCTCCTAGAGCAGCAAAGAGGGAACAAAGAAATAGAGACAGAGGAGGGAGAAGAAGTTGGGGAATATGACAGTGAGACAGTGTAATCAATTGAACTCTAAGATGCACCATCCCTGCTAGATACAGTAGGGTATCATCTAATCTACAAGATCACATGATGGAACTGGAGGCAGCACATGTTCAGTGTGAAATTAAAAGGCTAAATTGAAGCTACAATATTTCCTAAACAGCAGTGAACAGGAAGCTGGACTTACTCTTTGGTATAAAGTGTCAATGCATGAATGGTTGTTAGTTTCAGAAAATTATAGAAATTGTTGCTCACAGCCTGTCAGATGCTGTTTGACAATCCAACAATCACATTGTTTGAAGCACACGGACTTCAAAGTCCAGTTAAATGTTGTGTTGATAGCCATTGAGATCTTAAGATGTTTAAAGGAATAGTTTTACATTCTGAATTCTAAATCCGTACAAAAAACAAAATGTCAAATCAAGACAGACAGACAAACTCAAGATTCTTACAGCGAGTACTCTGGGCAGAGCTGCCTTCAGTTTACAAAGGAATCCAGTGTGGTAGAGGCAAAACATGCCACTCATTAGGGCACCGATAACAGCCAGAAGAGCAGCAACTGCACCTAAAAAGACAGGGTCTGCAGACACACACACACACACACACACACACACACACACACACACACACACACACACACACACAGAAGTTTTAGTGCCTCGCTCTTTGCTGGACCATGCACCAAAAAGTGTGACCAAAGTCATTTTTGACTCACTTATGGCATTACGGTTGTATTTAACTCCAGATGGTTTTGCAGACTTACATTGTAACTTACATCCATTATCTGTAACTGCTTATCCATCTCAGGGTCCCAGTTGACATTATACTGTATATAATGGATTGTACTTTTCTATATTTTATATTCATGTTTCTTGTCTATGTATCAAAACTCGAAGGCAAATTGCTTTTATGTGAAATCTACTTGGCAATAAACTAGATTCCGATTCACTGTGCTGCCAAATGATACCACACGTTATGAGGCATGGAAACACTGGGACCGTCGGATTTCTATAATCTACACATCCGAGATAATAACAGCTTTTCCTTTGAGGGAAACACGCCGCAGGATTCCCAGGCTGTCATGGCAGGAAAACAACTGCCCCAAACATGTCCACCTGTCATATATGATAATAAAATATTTCTGATCTCACCATTTATCCAAGTGTGTCATAAGTGCATCACAGGTGCGTTACAGGTGCATCAGGAACCCCTGGCCATAAAATGACCAAAACAGCACTGGCTTGGGACATTTACCTGCGCTTCATGCTGCGCTTCATGCTGCGCTTCATGCTGCGCTTCATGCTGCGCTTCATGCTGCGCTCCATGCTGCGCTCCATGCTGCGCTTCATGCTGCGCTCCATGCTGCGCTTCTATTTGAAAATATGAAAGTTCAGCTCACCTCGGCTTGGTTCTACAACGCTAGTGAAGGTGCAATTCCAAGCGGATGGCACAGTGTTCGTGTTGGTATTGGTCCTTATGTACACCCGTACACAGTACTCCGTGCCAATGTGTAGGTTGTTCACAGTGTAGCTGTTGTTTGTTGTGATGGCGGACTGCTGCAGGTAAAATATGAAGAACAAAGTTAAATGATTTCCATGTGAGCTTCGTCCGTAACCCCAGCACTCTGTACATTAACCTACCACGGGATGCGGGGACAGTATTGGGTTTAAAGCTCGGTTTCACCCTTGGCACTTATTTTATCTTTCCTAGCAGTCAGACAACATCTACAGGATCATTAAAATACCTCTGATGATAAGAGCCGCTAGTAAAAGTAAAGTTTTTACTTTTGCCTTAACGTTAGCACGGGGAATTCTACGTGACTGAATCACTGAGTAACGCACAGATACCCTAATGGCACCATTTCCATTTCCAGAGAGGAGATTGCAGTTTTCTAGTTCTAGTTGTTTTTGTCTGAGGCAGAAATGATCACAGTTAAACCCACAAGGCCAGAGGAATAAGTGACTTGGATCTACTTTAGGTAATACAATGTAGACAGACTTGTCAAAGCAGGAATGGCTGCATTCCATTTAGGGGAGCCTGTACCAGGACTCTGGCGTTGTCCATGCTCTGACGTGGTTTACTGGGACACTAAATGGAATAGGGTTTTTAATTACACCTGTGCTTCCAGAGAGTATGTGCAGTATTCAGGGCAGCAAACACACTGAGAAAAAATACAGTAAAAAACAATAAACAAAACATGATGTGATCATGAGATGAATCAAATTTAGAAGGTAATCCAATATTGTATAATATCAAATTTGCTGTAATTCCTTGCCACCGTCTACTAAGGTTAGACTCAACCAATGAGACGATCTGTCCTTCAGTAGAAGCTCTGCCTCAGGAAACTATTTGGTTAACTGGTTGTGTCTATATTAGAGGAATTAAAGTAAATGTAAGACTTCATGACAAGATAGTCCTCATACACAGTAGAGTTCATTAGAATAAATGAGTTTGACAAAGGTGCAACATGCGTGTCTTACCTCTGCTCCTTTATGTTTCCTCCAGAAGACTTCGAACTGAACACTGAAGTAGACCGTCTTCATATCTTTGAATCCTGAACTTGGGTCAGCTTCAGGGAGCGACATGTTGAGATGGATGCAGTTGCCACATCCAGCCAGAGAGACCTTTGGAGGACCTATTATGGCTTGTTAGAAAAAAGAAAGCACATTCTTTTTAAATGAAAGTCAGAGAGGGTGTGAGGTGAAATCTGAACTTGTACATCTTAACTGTGTGACATGTTTTCACCGGCACTCAGCTGATGGCATTCAATGATAACACAGGGGATCACATCACATTTCATTACTATTCATCTCACAGTTGTTGAGATATTTCAAACACTTCCACCATCGCAGAAGACGGTGTAGCGAGATGACATCTTTAAAAGAGCGCACAATCAAACCTCACACGAAGGTTTTCTACCGTGAAGAAACATGACGGTCACACGCATCATGGACAACATGCTTCATGTGCTATGTCTGCTTCCCTTGCACATTTTCAACCTCAGTCAAGACTAAAAGCCTTTTTACTCATTTTCAGAAGTTTTTTTTTTAACATGGATGGAAACACATTGATTGAGTGATCATTGCAGCCTCAGTTATTAACAGCTTAGCTCAAGCTGCTACCAAAGGTAAAATGATCTACCTCCCTAATAGAATCAATAAGACTGAGTCTTATCTCTCAGCGACAAATAATAATATAATATGTCATTGGTTAATCCAAGGCAACAAACATGCAACTCAAAGACGTTCATGTTGACGTACTCTCTGTGAAAGGTGTGAATTTGACTGGGTCGGATTCTGCAGACAGAGTCTGGTTGTAGGACGCCTGGACAGTCAGGACGAACCCCTTGTTGGGTGAAAGCTTCAGCTTCAATGATGTTGTCGTCGTTAAGTTTGATCGATGTTTCTTTGCTCTCCTGTTCACCCTGCACAGAGAAAAACAGCTCACACATTTGATTTCATGCTTCCGGTGCTCTTATTCTGGCGGGATCATTTCTTTTGTTCAGTTGAGTCTGTCTGACACTGTCACACTGTCACACTATCACACTGTCACACTGTCACACTATCACATACTCAATAATAGAGTTTGATTATGGCTCAACACAGATATATCAGTGATTAACAAGAAACTGCAGTTTAGAAATGTTAAAAGTAACATTTAAATAGTTTGTACACCAGAGAGCACCGACTAGTTTATTATTCAACTAAAAGCCAGCACAGGTGGGTCTAGTTTTAATAGCACCCACACTGCAGACATTCAGCACGAGTACACGCTGAACACAAAAACTGTTAAAACTCTCATGAGTCTGAGATGGTCAGTTTAAATGTATCAGGTGTGAATACACTCAGTTACAGCTGATGACTGTAGGCACACCTACTGTAGCTGAACTAATGACGTCTATTACAGCAGACCTGCAGTAAATCCTACCTTCCCCGAGGCTGTGATGCTCACATGTTGGTTTAGAGAGGCTGTAGTTTGAGCTGCTGTTGAATCGTATTGCATTGAAAGTATTCTCTTCTCTGACTCTCTAATAGTTAGTCTACTCCTATATATGATAAATGGGGCGAATGTTTACTCAGCATAATATTGCCTACTGGATGATGATTCAGTCTTTATTTACCTATGATATAGGTTAAAACTAAAATAGTTTGGTGATAAATAATGTTTCTTTGGATTTTGAGTTTAATAAATGTTATCCCTACATTTGATATAGGCCTAGCTATGAGCACCAACAATGCTATCTGTAGCCTAACGCTAACCGTGCAGCCGATCACAACCCTGAACCTGAACTAAACTCTAACTCATCTGAAAGCCTCGTTTGTCTTTCACTACAAACCTGGAAACAGGCCTTCAACACAACCTCTTTTTATTGGACCATTATTTTATCACTTATTCTTACCACCAGACTACGCGTCATTAGGCAAACTTCTTTATTTGTATAATTCAAAGCCATGTGTCAATATAACGGAGGACTCCTGTGCTAACTTTAGTCCCTCCCAAGTTGATCATCTAGTGCAGACGTAGCCAACACGGTGCCCGCTCGTGCCCAACTCGTGGGTGGCGGGGGTAGAAGCGATTGTACGCAATCCGACCGAAAAGGCCCAGACTAGAGTTTGAACGCGGGTCCCCACAGATGCTTGCGCACCTCGGCTATAGATGAGACTTTTTAGTAGTTTCTTCGTGGAGAAAAAGGTTCCATTAGAAAAGCTGGTGTCGGTGACAACAGACGGGGCTCCTACCATGACGGGCCGGCATGCAGGCTTCATTGTGCAATGTAAAGGTGACCCAGAGTTCCCAAAAGTTGGTGATTAGTACTAATGTAATAGGATTCATTTAAAAATGTGAGTTGTTTTTTTATCTTACATAACTGATAATTTGTGTAAACATGGGACAGAGTTCATGATTTGTTCAAAAATGTTACAAAGGTAACAAGATATGATTTGAAGATATGATAGTTAATGATTTTGTAAATTTTTTTTAGAAGTGATAATTTGTACAAAAATATAACAGGTGTGATTTTGAACAAAATACACAATCATTGTTATTAATTATTGTGAGGAATAATTAACATTGACATGTGATCAGACAGTCTCTGAACATATATTATTATTATTAAAAGGTGATCTGTACAACTTTGTTATTCAGGAAGTTTGTATCAAACAAGTAGCCCTTCGTACTACTCAGTGCCCTTGAAGTAGCTCTCAGTTTCAAAAAGGTTGGTGACCCCTGCACTAGTGAGTCGATATTGCTGCAGGCTCACTGCGAAGGACGCTCAACTCTAATGCAAGGAGAGCAGCTTATTACTCATCATTAATAGAGAAAATAAGAACAAGCCCAGGTTTCTCTTCAGCACTGTAGCCAGACTGACAGAGAGTATTCATAGACCTCAGTAGTAATGACTTCTTTAATGATCACATTCTAATTATAAGTTACAAAATCAATCACCTCCTCAAACACCTCGTACCCTCAAAGACCTCGTACCCTCAAAGACCTCGTACCCTCAATCACCTCGTACCCTCAAACACCTCGTACCCTC